GCATCCTCGGAGAACGAATAACAGCTGTATGAACTGGTTCCCTCAGAAATATATAGACAAACAAAATACCAATCAAGCTATAATCATCTTTAAAAATAAACTTTTTATCAAATATATGTTTATAATGCAAAAGCGATTGTGTTTACTCGATTCTAATTGCTTCGGAGCGGCATTTTGACAGGTTGCTGCATGATTCCGCCTTGTCTTCATCTCCCATTATCTCTTCCTCATATTATAGTTGCGATATCGTATAAAAGTTTTTCACTCTCCAAATATTCACAATTTATTTTTCGTTGTCTTGCCACGATGAAATTTAATAAAGATGACAACGAAAAAATCTTTTTACAATATAGGAGCAGGTAATTTTATTTACAACTGAGAGCATCCAGGGTGACATTGTTCGTAAGCTAAAAGCGGATAAAACGCCTGTAAATATGCTTAAGATGGCTGTGATGGAATTGAAAGCAAGGAAAAAATTACTTGAAGATAGGGTTTGCCATCTTAAAATCATATTTTCAGGAGCAAGAGTTAAACTCCAAAAGCTCTAATTTTGATCGGGCCAAATTAGAAGATTTACTCAAGCAAAAATTCTTTTATGACCAAGCATTTTCTATTTATGGGGGTACAATATTTATTTCGCATGCTCATAAATTTCAGGCGTAAACGGCCTTTATGACTTTGTTCCTATGGGCTGCTCAATCAAAGCAAACTTATTATCTCCGTGGCGTCAATTCTTCGTCCTTAAGGAACATCTACTTGAGGTCGATTGCTCAATTTTAACACCCGAACCAGTTTTGAAGGCCTCTAGACACATAGACCGGTTTACGGATTTCATGGTCAAAGATATCTCATCTGGCGAGTGTTTTCGGGCTGACTATCTAATAACGGCAGGACTACAAGCGATTTGGGGTTCAAAAAAGATTGAAAAAAAGACAAGACGGAGATAGAAAAGATTAGGGATAGAAACAGGATAGAGACGACTGGGGCCAGAGCTAGTTGGCTGACGTTAGGTCTGTTGTATCAAAGATGTGATACACGTAGCAAAGGGGTGACCATGACACTCAGAGGATTGCGCCTCGAATTAGTCACACAGACGTAGGGGAGGGCGAATAACGCCTCGAGTAGGACAGATGTGGTGGCAGGATTCGAGTCAAATAGGTGAACAAGGGTAGAGAAGACGGATTTTACGGAGCAAGAGAGAGACTGGGATAAGACTAGGGAAAAGGACTGCATAATAATAAAGCAGACTCTAATCGACATTCCCTGCACAAGGATGAAGGGGGAGGGGTGAGAACGAGCGTCGGAGTGTGAAAGTCTCATGTCGCTCAAAGGAGCACATCATAATATCTGAATAAACACGGTAAAAATTGCAATGATAGAATGCTACCGGAAACGCAAATATCCAGGGCAGAAGGGGAAATACCATAATTGTTTAGCATACGTTTGGTCAAAGGATCGGCTTCACTTGTCTCTTTGACGAGTTGTTGTATGGTGCTAAGAATGGCGATACTCACTGACGATGGTGACTACGATGCCGGCGAAATGAATTGGAATATACCACGTCCACGGTTCGACTTTGGAAATGATCATGGAGACTAGGTGCGTTCCTCTAAGTCTTCCTTCTAATATGACCATGTTGCGAAAACAAGGTCAAAGATCTTTACTTATTAAGTTTGCGAACATATATCACTTCACATTTAGTCAAATCGTTTTGCATGTCACCATAACATTACATTTGAAACATGTTATGTCAGATTTTATAGATTTGGCCTATTCATAAAACAGAACGGTTAATACGGATCTTATAAATTCGCCTAAAGCTAAATGGGTCAGGATGGCTGCTAAAAATCATGTTTAAACTATTAATTCATCTCTGAAGGCTTATCGTTTTTGATATTCCCATTTATGTTTGAATTTAGGCTCTAGCCGTTGTGAGCGCATGTAGACGCTTATTTGTTCGACTTAACATATTTTATGAAATTGGTTGAATACATATCATATTACTGATTTACTGGTAGTCACGAAAACAATACTTAATTCGAAAAATAAAATAAC